ATTGACTAGAGTTGAAGCTGTGGCATTTTCTTGCCTAAAGGTCATTGTAATCCAGGTGACAATTCCTTATTTGAGAAGGAAACCCTGTAGTGGAAAAACACCTGACTGGAAATCGGATGACCAGGCGTAATAATGTTCACTTAGTCTTTAGCTGTGTGACATCGGACAAGTCTTCTAATTTTCTGGGTTTTGGGTTTTGACCCCTCATCTCTAGGATTCATTTATAGACCGTGTCCTAGTAATTTTCATTTGCAGAAACTGCTCTGCCACAAAAATTGAACAATCATAGTCTTTTTCTAGTTTACAAAAAAAGCACTTTTAAAATTGAATTGATAAGCTTTAATTCTGAGTTTTTCTTACATGAAGTTGTCTTTAACTCTTTTGCTTCTTTTCATCTGCTACCAAGTGTTTTTGTGCGTGTGTGTGTGTGTGTGTCTGTATTGTTATTTTCACGGAAGTGGGAGACTCTAGTCATCTTTTATACTTGGATCAGTTGTCATAGGCATATCTCTGCTAGTCTAACTATTCCTGGGTTTGTGGTGGAACTTATTCACATCCTTGTTTTATAGTATTTTCAGAGTGCTCACCAGAGACAGGGCTGATGGTGCTTGGGAGCAGTGACTGCTCCACAGCCTGGCCATGTGAGTCAGGCAGGCTTCCTGTGGGCATGGAGAGAACCCTTCTGAGTTGGGGTTAATTAAGAGTTTTGGATGTGAAGAGTCTTAAAATCATATATTTTAGATCCTTTGAAGGGCTTCGGAAATCATCTTACTTGACTTTACTCTTCTTAACTAAGGCTCAGAGTTATCAGAGGTCACAAGGCTAACTCTGGTGAAAGGCTAATAAGGTTGGTTTGAACCAGCAAATCTCCACAGTCCAAGCTGGTGTACTTTCCACTGCTGAATTCTTATATCTTATTACTGTTTAACTTCAGAAATTGTCCAGTGTTTTTCACTTTTCTGATACAACAGTAGCTTGCCTATTGTCTTGAGGAACTTCATCTTGCTCTGACATCATGGAAATCCAGCCAATGTGCTTCATGGAAGTAGTGCAGTGTCAAAGCAGTCTGGATTAATACATTTTCAGGCAGAAATGTCCCTGCAGTGTACTGTGGACAAGACTGTTTAAGAGTATCAGAGGTGCTCTTGCCAGTGTGGCTTAGTTGGTTTAACATTGTCCTGTGCACCAAGGGCTCCTGGGTTAATTCCTGGTTAGAGTACATGCCCTGGTTGTGGGCTTGATCCCCAGTAGGGAACATGCAGGAGGCAGCCAACCGATATTTCTCTCTCTCCCTCTCCCTTCTTCTCTTTCTCTATAATCAATAAAACACATATTTTAAAAAAATAGTATAAGAGGTGCTGATGACTGTGTGGGTGTCAGTGGGATAGAGGGGCAGAGCAGGACAAGTCAACCTTGACAGATACCCCACCTGTGACCTTATACTATGTTTCATCCGATCAGAGGCATGGGCAAACTGTTAATGGTATGAATATTGTATTGTTTGGTTTCAGGGGTAGATTTGTTAATACAGTTGCAAAGCTAAGGATAAAAATTGTCTTTGGCAAGACTGTTTCTACAGAACTTCTGTAACTCCTGTAAACTTGGATTCTTGCTTTTAGAAAACAGAAGAGCCCTGGCCTATTTGGCTCAGTGATTAGAGCATCGGCTTGCTGACCAAAGGGTCTCAGATTCGATTATGATTAAGGGCAACTACCTGGGTTGCAGCTTCAATTACCAGCCCTGGTCAGGATCCTGCAGGAGGCAACCAATTGATGTATCTCCCTCACATTGATGTTTCTCTCTCTCTCTGTCTCCCTCCTTCCCACTCTCTCTAAAAAAATCAATAGAAAAATATTCTCAGGTGAGGATTAACCAAGAAAAAAAACCCAAAAAACCAAAAACAGAAGAAATTTCAATAAATTCTTTATGGAAAAAATTACAAAAATATAATTTAAGAGAATAAGTTCTTGCTCAGGCTGGTGTTGCCTAGAGCATTGGACTAGGTACTGAAGGATTGCAGGTTTGATTCCTGGTCAAGGGCATGTGCCTGGGTTGCAGGTTCGATTCCCAGCCCCAGTGAGGGCACATGCAGGAGTCAACCAATCGATGTGTCTCTCTCACATTGATGTTTCTCTCTCTCTCCTTCCCTTTCACTCTCTCTAAAAATATCCTCAGGTGAGGATTAATAACAACAAAAAAGAGAATAAGTTCTGGGTTTTCTTCTATTAATTTTATCTTACCTAAAATCATCATGGGGTTTTTATCAGTGTGCTGAACCAGCACTTAGGTGAGCTAAAGATAGATAAGAATTTGCAATTGAAATGTGTTTCTCAGATTAAGCTTACTAATATGTAATAGAGTATTTTTCTGGTTCCATACATTATCACATGTGAGTATTTCATAATTGGATCGCACAGAAATCTATATTTTATTAGATTAGAGGTGACCAACTACCTTAAGAAAGTGTGTTTCAATTCTGACTTGTGTAACTAAACTTTGCAGACCACTTTTCAGAACACTTATAAGTATGACCTATATACTATCTGCATCAGAATTATCTGGATGGCTGTTTGAAAATACAGATTTCTAAATCATTATTTGCAGGGATAGGATTAGGGAACCTGCATTTTTAGTACATTTTTTTCAGATGATTTGCCCTAAAGCCTTAGCTCATACTTGCCTGACAGCCATCCCAGGATTTCAATGGTGAGGGTATTGTTTAAAGATAGGAAGTGAATTTCTGTGTTACCTGCCACCATATTCTTTGGACATTTATACGTATTTGCTATGTACCTGGAAGCAGGCTAGGTTTGAAATCTACATTGAACATTATAATTATTGACTTAGCCAACTATAGACCTTTGGAAGATAACGTTAGGAATCTTTTGCTCTATCTTCATTGCTTTGCAATTATTTCAGAGACTTGGGCGGGTGATGTGAGATACTTCATACTTTCCCTATTACTACTTTTCTTCCTTTGGTCATCTATATCCTATCTAGTCTTGGGTAGAAGCTTTTAAATCTTGTTCATTGTTGATTGTCTGCTTTTTCATTTGCTATTCTATGAAGTTTTATATTTTATTATTTTTAAATGTTTTTTTTTAACTTGATTTTTAGAGAGAGAGGAAGGGAGAGAGATAGAAACATCAATGTGAAAGAGATACATCGATTGGCTGCCTCCTGCATGCCCCCTACTGGGGATCGAGCCTGCAACCCAGGCATGTGCCCTGATGGGGAATCAAACTGGACCTCTCAGTCCATGGGATGATGCTGAATCCACTGAGCCATACTGGCTGGGCTATTTTATTATTTTTTAAAAATATGTTTTTATTGATTTTTAGAGAGAGAGGAAGGGAGAGGGAGAGATAGGAACATCGAACAGCTGCCTTCTCCAGGCCCACAACCCATACATGTCCCCTGATTTGGAATCAAACCCGTGACCTCTTGGTGCATGGAACCACACCCAACCAACTGAGCTACGCAGGCTGGGCAACTGTGAGGTTTTTTAAAAAAGGCTGGATTTCTTTTCCTATCTTCCCCACAGAGCCTGTGTGTCCCTTCAGGGCAGAAACTGTATGTGGTTGATATCAGTAATATGACTGCCCAGCCTAGTGTGAGGACACAGGAGGAATGTGAATCCTGGTTAGTGACTGACTGATGGATGCAAAGTGACCTGGATGGCTAGTGTCTCTGTGTTCATTCATCTTAGACTCTCACAAACCTCCCCTTTTGTCCTGGTTTCACTGTTGCCACACTAGTTCCTAACTTTATTTCTCTTGACTGTTCTTCCCTTGTTTCCATCTTTGCTTTTATTTATTTATTTAGAGAGGAAGGGAGAGGGAGAGAGAGAATCGATTGGCTGCCTCCTGCACACCCCCCACTGGGGATTTGGCCCACAACCTGGGCATGTGCCTGGACTGGGAATCAAACCGGCAACCGCTTGGTACATGGGTTGACGCTCAACCACTGAGCCACACCGGCTGGGTAGAACTTGACACATTTTAAAAGAATAGTCTTTTCATCTCCATAGCTGGTCACGTGGAGTTTTTTCTGTCATCCATCTTTTTTTTTTAATTTATTTTTATTGTTGAGAGTATTAACAGATGGCTCCCCTTTTATCCCTCATTGACCCTCCCCCCCATTTGTCTTTGTGGTAAATGACTGTACATTAATTTTCAGTGCTGTGAAATATATCTTGTTATATAAAGACTAGTGACAAATTGTTGTGGCAGAAATTTGGTTGGTGGGAAGAGAGTGACTGTGCACACTTGGAGGATTAGAAGATGACTGTTTAATACGCACTTGTGCTGGCAGCAGAGTCACCTCCAAAGGCTGAGCCCGAGTTCCAGCCACCTTTTATACGTGATAAGCTTCCGGGTATTTGGGAGTTTCCTAGTTCTCTAGTTTAGGTGGTTGGTGCATGTAAGGGGATTACAAAAGCCAGGGACGGGGTCTCTGCACTGCCTAAGAGAGTTGTCTGCAGAAGGCTTGCCTTCTCAAAATGACACGTTTTCTTTTTAACCTCACCCGAGGATATTTTTTGTTTTTGTTTTTGTTTGCATTTATCTTCAGAGAGAGCGGGAGGGAGAGAGGGAGGAAGAGAGAGAGAGAAACATCGATGTGAGAGAGACACATCAAGTGGTTGCCACCCACACGACCCCAACCAGGGCCGGGGATGAACTGCAACCGAGGTACGTGTCCTTATCCTGGACTCTCAGTTCCGCGGACTGACACTCTAACCACTGAACCAAACCGGCCAGGGCCAAAATGACAGTTTTTCAACCAAAAGATTAGGTTGAGATGTTCTGCAGTTGCAGGTGGGTTCTGCAGTTGTATGGGGGGTGCTCTTTCATAATTGAGCCAATTGAAAGTATTCCATTGTATGGTGATGCAGGTTTGATCACTGTAAATCGTTTCTTGGCTTCTCAGATATACATTCTGAAACAATTTTTCATTCCTACCAAACTAGAGGTCTTAATATATGTGTCTCTGAAAAATAGGTAACCATGCCAAAGATAATGCTGACAAATGGGAGAAAAAATGAAGAGATTTAGAACGTTAAAACCAGGATGCAAAGGAGACGAGCATATTGTCAACACTTAATTAGGAATTGATACTAAACAGGTACCATTATGTTTATAATTTTGACAGGAAAAAAGGCTTAAGAATAAGGGTTCAGACTGTTGAGAAGCTGAAAAGCTAAGAGGAAGAGTGTAGATAGATCAGTGCTTTTTTCTTATGGAATCAGGTAGGGGCTAGGAGTGGGGGAGGGCAGGAATACTAAAAGTAAAATTTCTACCCTGGTGAAAAAAGCACTTCACTTTCTGCACTTAGTAAGCTCCTCTCCAATTAGCGTGGTGCCCTCATGTTGTCTCCCTGTTGTCTCAAATGGCAGCATTTCTGATTTTTATATGGCTGAATAATATTCATCTATTTTATATATATGGCAACTTTTTTTATCTGTTCAGTCATTGATAGACAGTTTCTGTGTCTTGGCTATTCTGAAGAATGCTGCTATGAACATGAGGATGCAGATACCTCTTTGATACAGTGTTTTTGTTTTCTTTGGATCTATACCAAGAATTAGAATTACTGGATAGTATGGTAGTTCTATTCTACCATACTTTTTGAGGACCTCCATACTTTTTGTTAAAAATTATATTTATTTATAATTGATTTTAGGGAGGGAGGGGGTAGAGAGAGAGAGAGAGAGAAAAAGAAACATCGATGTGAGAGAGACACATTGATCGGCTACCTGACCGGGGATCAAACCCACAACATAGGTATGTACCCTGATTGGGAATCAAACCTTCGACCTTGGAGTACACAGGAGGATGCTCCAACCTACTAAGCCATACTGCCCAAGGCTCCATACTGTTTGTAGTAGTATCTGCACCAATGTGCAATCTCACTAGCAGTGCACAAGGACTCTCTTTTCTTCACTTCTTCACCAACTTTTGTTATTTCTTGTCTTTTTTATATCAACCATTCTATCAGGTGTGAGGTGATACCTTATTGTGGTTTTGATTTGCATTTCCCTATATTGATGAGGTTGAGCACCTTTTCATTTACCTGATGGCCATTTTGTACATCTTTTGTGGAAAAATGTCTGTTCAGATGCTTTGCCCATTTTTAAATTGTATTATTTAGTTTGTTGTTGTTATTGCACTCTTAATACATTTTGGATGTTAGTTCCTTATCCAGGAACCTTATTTTTGCCAAGGGCCATTTGAATATTTATAACATCGTTTGAGGTCTGTACAAAATTATCAATTTAAAAATTAGCCTGCTATGGCCCGGCTGGTGTGGCTCAGTGGTTGAGCATCGACCGACCCATACAGCAAGAGGTCGCGAGTTTGATTCCCAGTCAGGGCACATGCCCAGGTTGTAGGCCTGATCCCCAGTGGGGGGCATGCAGGAGGTGGCCATTCTTTGTTCTCTCTCATCAATGTTTCTCTCTCTTCCTTCCTCTCTCTCTCTAACATAAATAAAGAAAAAAAAATAGCCTACTATATTTGGTCAGACTAATTTAGTGAGGCGATGTTAGCTGGTATTGATTTTGTGGGCCTCGGACATTTCCCACCCCTGGATTGGATGTATTGTTGGTGAATGTCTTCCATTCAGTAGGCTGCATTTTTTGTTGTTTTTGTTGTTGATGGTTTCTTTCCATGTGTAAACTCTTTAGTTGGATGTAGTCCTACTTATTTTTTATTTTGTTGCTTGTGCTTTAGGTGTCATATCCAAAAAATAATTATCAAGAACCATGTCAAGGAGCATTTTTTTTCTGTTTTCTTCTAGGAGTTTTGTTTTACATTTGTCTTTAATTCATTTTGAATTTATTTTTTCGAGAGGTGTAAGATTGGGGAGTGGGTCTAGTTTATTCTTTTGCATATGAATATCCAGTTTTTTTTACCACCATTTATTGAAGAGACTTTTTTCTCCATTGATTATTCTTGGCTCTGTTGTAAAATATTGGTTGACTGTATATGCTTAGGTTTATTTTTGGACTTCATTTTGTTCCATTTCTCTATGTGTCTGTTTTTGTACCAGTACCATGAAGTTTTGATTACTGTAGCTTTATGATATAGCTGGAAATCAGGAAGTGTGATGCCTTCTGCTTTGTTCTTCTCTCTCAGGATTGTTTTAGCTATTTGGGATCTCTGTTTTTCCATATAAATTTTAGTATTGTTTTTTCTATTTGTAAAAATTGCCATATGAAACTTGATAGGGATTGCATTGAATGTATAAATGGCTTTTGGTACTGTGGACATTTTAACAATTTAATTCTTCCAATTCATGAACATAGGGATACCTTTTCATTTATTTGTGCGTCAGATTTCTTTCATCAGAGTTCTGTAGTTTTCAGTGTAGAGATTCATCTCCATGGTTAAATTTATTCCTAAGGATTTTATTCTTTTTGATGCTATAGTAAGTGGGATCGTGTTTCTTTTTTTAAATTTTATTTTATGTGAAATACAACTTTATTCTGATTCCAAACAAAAAGGTTTCACCACTGAATATTGTGATGTGACTGTAGCAGTCTTATATTTGAAACTCAACGAGGAAACAACTGCATTTTCAAACAGCTAAATATGCATGTTCGAAAAATGAAGGTAGGTACTTTTAAAAAAAATCCTCACCTGAGCACATTTTTCCATTTATCATCAGATAGAGTGGGCGGGAGGGAGGGAGGGAGAGAGAGAAAAAAACATCAATGTGAGAGAGACACATTAACTGGCTGCCTCCCCCGTGACCTGACCAGGGCTGGGGATGAACCGCCACTGAGGTACGTGCCCTTAACTGGAATTGAACCCAAGACTCATTGGTTTGCAGGCCGACACTCTGACTGCTGAGCCAAACCGGCCAGGATGAAGGTACTTTTTTTAACTGCCACATTCACTGTGAAGCCCATTCATCTCTTTCAGCATACCAGAAGTTAAGCACATGTTCTGCCAAGCTATATAATAAAGTGGAAAATACACTATATCATTTTCCTTTTTAGATACTTCATTGTTAGTGTATATTTAAAAAAAAAACCCCAAACTACTGATTTTTACATACTGACTTTGTATCTTGACACTTTACTGAATTTGTTTATTGAACATATCTAACAGTTTTTTGGTGCAATACAGGATTTTCTTTATATAAAATTATGTCATCTGCAACTAAAGCCAGTTTCCTTTCCTTTCCTTTCCTGTCCTGTCCTGTCCTGTCCTGTCCTGTCTGAATCACTGTAGTCAGTCATTTGTTCTTTCATGTAAAAGTGGTTTGCAATGAAAAAAGTGGCAAGTCTAGCTTACTACTCAAAGTTTCCATATACTTAAAGTGCTTTTCCTCAATGGGACCATTGAAATACTTTCCATTTTATCACATAGAATATTAAAAAGAGATGTACTCAAAGGTAGAGATTTAATAAAATTAATAATTTTAATACTTCATCAAAGGCATTCTTGAAACTGGCCTTTCCCCCCATCTCAGTGTGTGAAGTGAAGAATACAGTAACTACTGATACAGTTTAATGTCACTACCTTGACAGAGCTGTGAGCAGTTTTACCTGTTGTTGCATTTGACCATTACTGCAAATGTTAACACAGTAAAAGGGAGAAAAATCTTAGTATTGCAGTGCAATTAGTTTTGACCTTGCAGACCCCCTGAAAGCTTCTTGGGTAGCCCCAGGGATTTGGGAACCACATTTTGAGAATTGCTGGACTAGCACATAGTAGATGTTAAATATTAGTAATACTCAATTGATGCTGTTGTTTTGTATTTATTTACTTATTTGTTTTTTACAGATGTCCTTCCTTTTCCCCCCATTGACACCCTCTTCCCCACTCCTGCACCCCCCAACCTTAACAATATTGTTGTCTGTGTCTATTGGTTATGGATATATGATTATGAATTCTTTGGTTTGTCAGTCTGTTCCCTACTTTCATGTCTCTGGTTCTATTTTGTTCATCAGCTTAGTTTGTTTATTATATTCCACAAATAAGTGAGATCATATGATATTTGTCTTTTCTTTGATGGGCTTATTTCGCTTAGCATAATACTCTCCAGGTCCTTCCATGTCATCTCAAAGGTAAGAGATCTTTCTTCCTTACAACTGCATAGTATTCCATTGTGTATATGTTTTTATTTTAATTCTTTATTTATAGCTCTGTCTTCTTTGGTCCAGGCTCTTATCTCTACATCACTAGTACTGGATACAGTGTGCCAGAGGGAATAAGCATGATAAATAATGTGATGAATGTATTAACTCCTGTGGGCTAGGATTGTTAAGTAGTTGCTGTGGTGCTGTATGCTAACATGAAAGAGGCTGCTTTCCTGGATGTATAGTTTATCACATGGTGCTTTCTTGATAACTTTAATGCTGAATAACCTTTTTCCCAAGGGTACCAGATAACTGAAGAATTTGCATATTTGACATTGGCTGTTTACCTACCTCTCAGAGGATTCTGTGAATGATGCTTGAGCTCATGAAGATGTTTCAGGCAGCTGCAGTGTGTGTGATTTACAAAAGTCAACTTGTTGCGGTGAGGGTCTGCGAAATGAACAAAAAACACAAACACACACAAAGACAGACAAGACTGCAACCCCGAAGTCCTGCAGCAGTTTACTTTTATAGCTAAGGAGATAGGCCGCCATGGTCCCAGTTCCTTTCAAGATAACTAATCTAATTATCACCCCTGCTGGTTCTTATCAAACTCCATTCAAAGGTTAGAGCTGATCTTGGGAACAACTGGTCCTTCCTGTTTGCAGACAAGGAGGAGGAGCTAGCCTGTGTGCAGGACACGCTCTGAATTGTTCTTAAAGAGTTGAGCAGCACTCCAAGGCATCTGTGTGCAGAATAACCTTGTTAACCTTTGCGTGAGTCCATCTGTGTGCGGAATAAACTCACATACAATCTACATCAATTCTTTTTTTTTTTATCCTCACCTGAGGATATTTTTCCATTTTTTGTACAGATAGAGTGGGAGGGAGAGAGAGGAAGGGAGAGAGAGAGAGAAACATCGACGTGAAGGGACACATCGAGTGGCTGCCACCCGCACGACCACCAGGGCCGGGGACAAACTGTAACCGAAGTACGTGCCCTTAGCGGGAACCGAACCCGGGTCTCTCCGGACCGCAGGCCGACGCTCTAACCGCTGAGCCAAACTGGCCAGGGCTCTACATCAGTTCTTTTCAGGAATTGGCCAACATGTGCATTTCGACCTGCATACAGAGCACAGATGCTAGTGCAGGGGAGCTGAGATATAGGGAGGCTGAATAGCACCTTCCAAATCAGTTGGTGCCAAAGCTGGGGCCAGTTCCCTGAGTTCTGCTTGGATCCATTTCTCCATTAAGACCTGGCTTCTCAGCACTTCAGTGTTTTTTGTTTTGTTATGTTTTTTATGACTAAAAGGTCACGAGCACTGGAGCTATTACTAATCAGAGCGTTGGAAAGTTTTGGGTTTTTTTTGGTACTCTTTATTCCAACCCTGATGTTTGGATAATTCACCTAGAGGTGACTGTTGTTATATTTGGTTTCAAAATGGACATCTATTTGGCTTCTGAGCTTTTCCTTATTATAAGTGTTAAGTGGGAGAAGTTGCTTTTCTTAAAGTGGATTAACTCTCTGTGGTTTGACCAGAAAACTGTCTCCTATAGGGCACAGGAGTTGAAAGGGACCCTAGATATTGGCTCTGGTGAGTGTGATATGATGTGTGATCTTCAGTGTTTTATAATGTAAGAGATTTGGCCTGGTGTTAACCCACTTATATGGGTAATTCTTTAGTAAGGGTTACTAAGTCCCCTGTTACTGCTTCTTATGCTAGGGTGGGTATATATGTGTTGAGAGTTAGAAGGTTTTTTTTTGTTTTTATTTCTGTTTTTCTTTTTAGTGAACTAGTAGCTTCTCACAAAAGCCTTTAGAGCAGAGACAGTAGGGAGCCAGTGGGAGACTAGAAGAGCAGAGCCTAGTGTTGAGAGGGGAGATGGGCTGCTACCTCAGGGAACTGTAAAATTTGTTGGCATTACAGTTTCCAGTGTGATGTCCCATATCCTGCCCGAATTGATGCTCACCATGATCTTATTAGACCAGGAGGTGTAGAAAATTAGACTCATTAATGTCATTCTAAAGTTATTAGGTTAGCCAGTGGTAGATGGGCATCAGTCCTCAGGCCTCCTGCTTCTTGATGGATGTGTGCGTGCGTGTGTGCATGTGTGAGTGTGTCTTTGTGTTTGTAACTACACTAGGCTTGTTTCATTAGTAGGAGAGGGTTCTCATGGCCACAGGCAAGGCAGGCAGTGGAGTATCTAGTGTGCTAAGTGGCTCCCTTGCTCAGACGTGGATGAAAGTCACAAGAAGTAGAACAGGGTCTTTTACTGAGCAAATGCAGAAGCCACTCTGCAGAGATGAGATGAACCTCAGCCAAAGTATGGTTTCTGTGTCAAAGGCTGATAAGGCCACACATGCACCAAAAGAGTATAAAAAAGTCTTCTTATTCACATCATGAAGCTTTGAGGGAGATTCCAGGGTATGCTCTCAAGCAGGCTGAAAGTGTCTTCAGAGAGCAGAGAAAGGAGACTGGCTTGGCTTATATAGTATTTAGAGGGTGAGGTTGGCTCAGGACTTCCTTGCCCCATCTGCCTGGGTGGGCTTGGGCGGTTTGAAACTCCTGCACATGCCAAAGGATGGGTACTTGGGCTTTCTTGCTAGCTTTCCCAAATGTGGGGCAGAAAGGGAAGGTGGGAAGTGGTAGGGCTTGAGCACTGTCAGTAGTCAAACATCAGAAGTGGAGCCAGACTGTATTAGAGGAATATACATCTTTCTGCAGGGACAAAGCAACTAGCAATTTTGTTCTAGGGGAAGGATTAAGGAGCTGCTGGAAGGACTGTGGACTTAGCTATGGATATAACCCTGCATGACCTCAGCTTTATATATCCTATACCCCACATTTCCTCTCCCATGTTAAAGTGATACATTTAGGCAGATTAGAGTGTTATACCCCTGGGAACAAAGGGAAATGTGTGGTAAAAGATGAGAATGTGGTAGACAATGGCCATGAATGCATGGATTGAGAACTGTCTGTCTTCTCTCTGTTGTCCATCCCAGCCCTATTTTACGCTGGGAGTTGTTAGGAAGAAAGTTAACCTGGGCCAGTAATCTGTCAGAAGATTTAAAATCCCATTTCAGCACACAGGAAAGGGATCATAATCATCCTTTCCAAATCTTTTAGCACTGAGCAGGCTGAAGCTACCCCATGAAACAGGTTACACAGAGTGAAGAAATGCTGGTGAGTCAGTAGGTTGTAGGGGTAGGACTACTTGGTTATAGGACTTTTTGAATTTGGAAATTGTCTTAGTTATTGATTTGGTTATACTTGGAAGCCAGTTTTAGGAAGCAAGTAGGGTGTGAACTCTTTAAAAAATGTTTTTATTTCTTTATTGATTTTAGAGAGAGAGGAAGGGAGAGGGAGAGAGACAGAAATATTGATGACTGAGAACATGGATTGTCTGCCTCCTGCATACCCCCCACTGGGGATTTCGCCCACAACTTGGGCAACTTAAGGTGCCCTGACCGGGAATTGAACCAGCGACCTCTTGGGTCAACGCTCAACCACTGAGCCATACCGGCCGGGCAGGACATGAACTCTTTCTTTTTTTTTTTTTTAAAAACTTATCTTTATTGTTGAATATATTACAGATGTTCCTCATTTTTCCCCTATTGACCCCCTCCTCCCCACTCCCACCCCCATCCTGCCTTTCCCCACACTGTTTGTCTGTGTCCATTGGTTATGCATATATACATATAAGTTCTTTGGTTAATTTCTTCCCACCCTCAACCCCCCTTCCCTTTGAGGTTTGTCAGTCTAACAGCCAATTTGTACTTGTTAATCCTTTCACCTTTTTCACCCATTCCCCCAATCTCACTCCCATCTTGGCAATGAACAAAATATTCTCCGTGTGTATGAGACTGTTTCTGTTCCGCTTGTGTATTTTTTTTGGTAGATTCAATTGTTGATAGCTATGTATTTATTGCCATTTTATTTGTTCATATTTTTTATCTCTTCAAGAAGACCCTTCAACATTTCATATAATAATGGTTTGGTGGTGATTAACTCCTTTAGCTTTTTCTTATCTGGGAAACTCTTTATCTGTCCATCGATTCTAAATGACAGCTTTGCAGGATAAAGTAATCTTGGTTGTAGGTTCTTGCTTTTCAGCACTCTGAATATTTCTTGCCACTCCCTTCTGGCCTGCAAGGTTTCTTTTGAAAATCAGCTATCAGTCTTATGGGAACTCCCTTGTAGGTAACTAACCGCTTTTCTCTTGCTGCTTTTAAGATTCTCTTTGTCTTGAACCTTTTGCATTTTGATGATGATGTGTCTTGATGTGGGCCTCTTGGGGTTCATCGTGTTTAGAATGTTTTTTTTTTCTTAGACTGTATTACCAGAAAATACATCTTTCTGCAGGGAAGTAACAACTAGCAATTTGGTTCTTGGGGAGAGATTAAGGAATGGTTTTGGTCTGGCTGAACTATTTCTACTGTCTTTAAAATTTTATATAACTGTGTATGCTTTGTATATTCAGGCCACCATTCCATTCCAGCTACATGAAAGGTGTATTTGTCTGATCATGGTTGTTTTCTCTGGTTTATAGTAGATTCTCTCAAATTTTCTGTGACTTTTTTTTTTTTTTAATCCTCACCCGAGGACATTTTTTCTATTTTTTGTTCAGATAAGAGTGGGAGGGAGAGAGAGGAAGAGAGAGAGAAAGAGAGAGAGAGAGAGAAACATCGACGTGAAAGGGACACATTGAGTGGCTGCCACCTGCATGACCAACCAGGGCCAGGGACAAACTGCAACCGAGGTCCGTGCCCTTAGCGGAAATTGAACCCGGATCTCTCTGGACCGCAGGCTGATGCTCTAACCGCTGAGCCAAACCGGCCAGGGCTTTACTGTGACATTTTACTCATTCATTTGCATGGTCAGCAAGCAATTGTAAATGCCCATTCTTTTATCAGTCCAGAAAACCTTAGAGTCATTTGTGGTATGTTTTGCATTCAATTCATACAGCATTTTGAGGGTATTTCTCTCATTTAGGAACAGTTCTCACCATTGTATCTTTTGTTAGTCTTCGATCCATGAAGAGTAGAAAGATTCCAGGGTATTGCCTGGGCTAGGATCAGTTTCAGATTATTGAGGGCTTGGATCCACAAGTGCTGGTCCCATTTTGGTTTGTATTTTGTCGTGAATGCCTGAAAGTCAGTTTGACATCATATTACTGAAGCATTTATGTGTAAGACATTGATTATGCAGTTTTCACTATAGGAGATGACTGACTAGTGGTCAGAACTTATTTCGGGACTGTCTTTCCCCTTCAGCCTCACTCCTAATTTTTACCTGGGAATTAAGCCCCCTTTCTAGTCTGGGATTCATAATGGGGTATTAGACTCCAAAGACACCCTAGCCATCCTTATTTCTTTTGTTTTTTATATATATGAGTAGAATCTGATAACAGGTCAGTTCAAACATCTATTTTGAAAAAAAATTAGAGAGAATTAGTATAATGAATCTCTATATATTTATCATTTAGATTCAGTAATTTCAAAGTATTGCCCAGGTACAGTTAACTGTTATATAAAGAAGACTTGACTATGCTTTTATTCCTTCACAACAGCCTCGTGGGGCAGACAGTATTATATCTCTCCGTACCGCAGGCCGACGCTCTAACCGCTGAGCCAAACCGGCCAGGGCAGACAGTATTATATCTCTATCTTGAAGATGAGAAAATGGACTAGCCGAGACAGATGAAGTAACTTGCCCAAGGTCACACAATCAACAACCACCATTCAAAACCTGTGTTCTAACCCTCTCTATTTCACTGCCTGCAGAAGTGTCCTCTTGTCTGATGTCCGCAGTAAGCTAGAGTCTGACTAGAAGTGGGACCAGGAGATCTGACTATGAGTTTTTTTAATGATGATTTTATTGTAACTCTTTTCTTGTCATTATTCTTTTGCACCAAACTATTTTATGAGCTTGAAGATTCTGAGTACCATTTAACCCTGCAGCGGCAACTGTGGTGTACCAAGGATGGCGTTGGGATTAGTCTGCTCCAGGTCAAGTGATAAGAGGTTCAACATCTGTAGGGAATTTAATAACAATAATAAATCATCCAAAAGTTTGTCTGCAAAGTCTAAAGTCTAGAATTGTGCCTGTGATTCTAAACAATGTTGGTAGTAACATATTTCTCTGACAAAATATTTTGTTGGTATATGTTCTAAATAATTATTATGGTAACTTGAATTTTAATAATAAGTGTCAAATGAGTACTTTTTGATTACTTATCTTTTAATAGATACTTGGAAGTTAGATCAGAGACTCCTAATTATACATTTGGCCCAAACACATGCATTCATTTCAAGAGAAGATTTTTAAGAGTTTGGAGTTGTACAGGCTTGCTTTGGACAGTCTTCATGCATTTAACCCCTGCAGTACTACATATTTCGGCATTTAAATAGTAGATTTAAAATGAACGATGATAGTATTATTGAATTTTATAATTCTGTTATTCTATGCGACCACTTAAAATTTTTGTTGTTTAAAAGTTAAAACAGTGAAACAGCGTAAGCCTTGAGGTATAATATTTTTGTTTGGTAAGTACAAATTTTAGTTCATACATGAAATGATATAAATTTGCATTATATCTATAAAGTTAAAGTTTATCATTTTAAAATTAATTGTTCTAATACTAAACAAATCAAGAAAATAATAGTTATTGATTTTTATATAAAAAGTTTTTTGAAAATAGTTTTTTATATAAGGAGAGTGTATTAAAAAAAAAAGATCCTTCCTGTTTGTTGAATACACTATGTGTGCCATTGTAGCCAGAATACGTTTTCTGTGATTCATTAAAACAATTTTTTTTTTCTATATTGATTTTAGAGATAGAGGAAGGGAGAGGGAGAGAGAGACAGAAACATGGATGAGAGAGAACATCGATTAACCGCCTCTTGCATGCCCTGCACTGGGGTCCTAGTCCACAATCTGGGGACCGAACCGGCGACCTCTCGGTGCATGGGTCGATGCTCAACCACCGAGCCCACTGGCCAGTCTCTGTGATTCATTTTTAAGTGAACAGATTGGGAATCTTGTATACAGTCGTCCCTTGCTACTTCGCGCTTTGACTTTCCCGGCTTCATTCTATTGCAGATTTTTCAGACCATTAAAAAACCGCGATAGAGTGAAGCTGGGAAAGTCAAAGCGCGAAGTGGAGGGACGACTGTGTATAAATAAAGACTCCTACTTCGTGGAAACTCATTTATCGAGGTTAGAGTCTGGGACTGATTAACCGGGATAAACGAGGGCCGACTGTTATGTGTAGCCTGAGCCTTTGGCAGGACAGGAAGACGCACATTACTTGTATTGAGGGATTACTAAGTACCAGAATTTGCTAGCATTTGGTGCACTTTTATCACACTTTGTCTTTTGATGAGCTTCTTCCAGTCTTTTCTTCATTGCTGACAGGCTTAGAGACAGAGCAGTGACAGCTCCACCAGGGCCTGCTTAGCCTCTCAGCCTCGCAGAGGGTAAGGCTACTCTTGGGAGGAGTGCTGGCCAAGACTGTGGAGTGGTGAGTTTTGGCTCCTCTGCTCTTACCTTTAGTACCACTTAGGACAGAGGTTCCTAACTGATTTTGTCCCCAGAGGACATTTGGCAAGGTCTGTAGACATTTTTGGAAGGAGGTGCTACTGGCATTTAGTGGGTAGAGACAGGGATGCTGCTAAATCTCCTGCAGTGCCCTGGACAGTCTTCCACCCACTCGACAGTTATCAGCGCCAAAATGTCAATAGTGCTAATGTTGAGAAACTCTTAGAGCAGATCACTTAAACTTGTTTAGCGTTGTTTTCTCATAATGGGGAAAATAATAGTACTTTTCTGATAATGTTGTGAAAAACTGTGGGAGATAATAAATTTAAAAGCTTAGTTGTTGATGTAATGATTATGATTAACCTAGTGGAAAAACCCAAAAGGATGAAAAAACTGCTGCTGTGATATACTCAGAACAGTAGAAATACTATACCTTTTTATATCCTTAGTATAAGTGGATAATGCTTAGAATAATGACCTTGAACCGGGAAATTGTACTGGAAACCAAATAGAAACATTTTAAAAACAAAATAGTGTTTCTGGCCTAATGCTAAGTTTGTCAGTATTTTCCAAACTGGACTGATAAATTACCTGGGGTTTGTAAAAGGACATAATCCCTCCCTTAAAAATTTTGATCAAGAGATTAGAGTGGGGCCTGGGAATCCTCAGTTTTAACCTTTGTCTTTAGTGATTCTTAAGATCAAGCAAGGATGGGAAACAGTCATTTTAGTCAGGAAAAAGGTTTCTTTGTCAAGTAAATTTGGGAAACTCTGGCTGAGAGTAAAGAGTCCTATATAGCACTTTGCGTGCCTTTAATATGATTAACACACACACACACATTATACAAATTTATTTATTCATTCATTCATTTATTTATATTTACATTTTAAAAATATTTAATTAATTAATTTATTATTATTACAGATGTTTCTCCTTTTCTCCACACTGATTCCCCCCTCCCCATTCCTCCCTGCCCAGTCCCCAGCATTGTTGTCCATGTCCATTGTTCATGCACACAAGCATATAAGTTCTGTGGTTTATATCTCCCCCAACACCCCCTCTTCTGGGGATTGTCAGTCTGTACCCCACTTCCACGACTCTGGCACTACCCCATTCCTCAGACTGTTGTGTTCATTATATTCCGTAAATAAGTGAGATCATATGATGCTTGCCTTTCTCTGTTTGGCTTGTTTCGCTTAGGATAATACTTTCCAGGTCCCTCCATGTCGTCTCAAAGGATAAGAGATCTTTCTTTCTTACAGCTGCATACTACTCCACTGTGTATATGTACCACAGCTTTTTTATCTATTCTTCTACTGATGGACACTTGGGCTGTTTCCAGATCTTAGCTATTGTAAATAGTGCTGCTGCAAACATGGGGGTACATATAGTCTTTCTGATTGGTGTTTCAGGCTTCTTAGTGTATATTCCTTGAAGTGGGATCACTGGGTCAAATGGAAGTTCAATTTTTAATTTTTTGAGATAACACCATATTGTTTTCCATAGTGGCTGCACCAGTCTGCATTCCCACCAGCAGTGTCCTAGAGTACCCTTTTCTCCACATCCTTGCCAACACTTGTTGTTTGATGATTTGTTGATGGTGGCCATTCTGACAGGTGTGAGTTGATACCTCATTGTTGTTTTAATTTGCATCTCTGATGATTAGTGATGTTGAGCATTTCTTCATATGTCTCTTGGCCATTTGTATGTCCTATTTGGAGAGGTGTCTATTCAGCTCCTCTGCCCATTTTTAAATTGGGTCTTCCTTTTGTTGAGTTGTATGAGTACTCTATATATTTTGGAAATTAACCCCTTATCTGATGTATCATTGGCAGTTATGCTCTCCCATACAGTGGGTTGCCTTTCCATTTTGATTATTGTATCTTTTGCTGTGCAGAAGCTTTTGAGTTTGATTTAGTCCCATGAGTTCATTTTCACCTTTGATTCTGTTGCCTTAGGTGATGTATCATGCGTATGATGACTGAAATTTTGCTGCCTACAATTTCTTCTAGGATTTTTATAGATTCATGAGTCACATTTAAGTCTTTTATACATTTTGAGTTTATTCTTGTGTATGGTGTAAGTGGATGGTCTAGTTTCATGTTTTTGCTAGCTGTCCAATTTTCCCAACACCATTTATTAAAGAGGCTGTCTTTACTCCACTGTATGCTCTTGCTCCCTTTGTCAAATATTAATTGAGCATATTGCCTTGGGACCATTTCTGGGTTCCCTGTTCTGTTCCACTGGTCTATCTGCCTGTTCTTGTGCCAGCACCAGGCTGGTTTGATTACTGTGGCTTTGTAGTATAACCTGAAATCTGGTAATGTGATCCCTCCTACTTTGTTTTTCTTTTTCAAGATTGCTGTGGATATTCGAGGTCTTTTTTGGTTTCATAGGAACTTTTGAAGTATTTGTTCTAGTTTTGTGAAGTATGTCCTTGGTGTTTTGATGAGGATTGCATTGAATCTATAGATTGTTTTGGGTAGTATGGACATTTTAATGATGTTAATTCTTCCAATCCATGAACAAAGTATGTGCTTCCATTTTTTAATATCCTCCTCTATTTCTTTTTTCAATGACCTGTAGTTTTTTGCAAACAGGTTTTTTCTTTCTTTGGTTAAGTTTATTCCTAGTTATCTTAATTTTTTTTGCTGCAATGATAAATGGGTTGTTTTCTTAGTTTCTCTTTCTGTGAGTTCATCATTGTGTTTAAGAATGCCATCGATTTCTTGACGTCAATTTTGTATCCTGCTACTTTGCCAAATTCATTTATTAAGTCTAGTAAATTTTTGATGGACTTTGGGGTTTTCTACGTATAGTATGATGTCATCTGCAAATAATGATAGTTTCATTTCCTGCTTTCCAATCTGGATCCATTTAGTTTTTTCTTCCTGTCTGATTGCTGTGGCTAAGACTCCCAGTACTATGTTAAATAAGAGTGGCGAAAGTGGGTGGGCATCCTTGTCTTGTTCCTATTCTTAAAGGAAATGCTTTTAGTTGTTGCCCATTGAGTATGATGTTGGCTGCAGGTCTTTCATATATGGCCTTTATTATGTCGAGATATGATCCCTTTATACCCACAATGCTGAGCGTTTTTATGAGAAATGGATGCTATATTTTGTCAAAGGCTTTTTCGGCATCTATTGATATGATCATGTGGTTTTTATTCTTCATTTTGTTTATGTGGTGTATCCCATTTATTGATTTGCGAATATTGTACCAGCCTTGCATCCCTGGAATGAATCCCACTTGGTCATGGTGAATAATTTTTTTGATGTATTGCTGGATCCGATTTGCTAGTATTTTGTTCAGGATTTTGGCGTCTATGTTCATCAGGGATATTGGCATGTAGTTTTGTTTCTTTGTAATGTGTTTTTCTGGTTTTGGAATGAATTATGGTGGCCTCATAGAAGGAGTTTGGAAATCTTCCTTCTTGAATCTTTTGAAATAGTTTGAGGAGAATGGGTGTTCTTTTTTGAATGTTCGGTAAAACTCACTGGTGAAGCCATCTGGGCCTGGGCTTTTGTTTGCTGGGAGAGTCTTGATTACCTCTTCAATTTCTTTAGTTGTTATGGGTCTGTTCAAGTTTTCTATCTCTTCTCGGTCCAGTTTTGGGAGACTGTGTGTTTCTAGAAATTTGTTCATTTTTTTTAGATTGTTGAATTTGTTGCCATATAGTTGTTCATAGTAATTGTTAACGGTCTTTTGTATTTCTATGATGTCAGTTGTTACTTTTCCTTTTTCACTTTTGATTTTGTGTATTTGGGTTCTCTCTCTTTGTTTCTTGGTGATTCTAGCTAAGGTCCATCAATCTTGTTTATCTTTTCGAAAAATCAGCTTTTTGTTTCATTGTTCCTTTGAATTTTTTTTTTTTGGGTGTCTATGTCATTTATTTCTGTTCTGATCTTTACTATTTCCTTCCTTCTACTTGCTCTGGGGTGTTTTTTGTTGTTGTTGTTTGCTTTCTAGTTCTTTAAGTTATGAGGTTAGATAGTCTATTAGAGATTTTTCTTGTTTCTTAAGGTAGGCCTGTAGCACTGTGAACTTCCTCTGAGAACTGCTTTCGCTGCATCCCATAGATTTTGTATTGTTGTGTGTTCATTTTCATTGGTTTCCAGGAAGTTTTAAATTTCTTCCTTGATTTCCTCGGTAACCCTTTCATTGTTTAATAACATGCCCTTTAGCCTCCATGTGTTCAAATGTTTTTGCATGTTCTTGTTGCAATTCATTTCTAGTTTCATGCCATTGTGATCTGAGAAGATGCTTGATATGATTTCAATCTTCTTGAACTTGTAGAGACTTAGTTTGTGTCCTAACATGTGGTATATCAATGAGAATTCCCATGTGCACTTGAGAAGAATGTGAATTCTGTAGTTTTGGGGTGTAATTCTCTGTAGATATCTATTAAATCCGTTTGGTCTAGAGCTTCATTTAGAGTCTGTTTTCTTGCTAATTTTTTGTCTAGAGGATCTATCCAGTTATGTCAGCAGGGTGTTGATGTCCCCTGCTATGATTGTATTGCTGTCTATTTCTCCTTTGAAGTCTTCCAGAAGATTTTTAATATATTTTGGTGATCCTATATTAGGTACTTATATGTTTATCAAGGTTATATCTTCCTGTTGGATAGATTCTTTCTATATTATGTAGTGGCCTTCTTTGTCTCTAGTTATATTGTTCATTTTGAAATCTACTTTATCACATATGAGTATTGCCACCCCAGCTGTGTTTTGCTTTTCGTTTGTTTGGAATATATTTTTCCATCCCTTCACTTTCAATCTATGTGAGTCTTTTGTTGTGAGGTGGGTCTCTTGTAAAGAACATATAGATAAGTCATGCTTTCTTAGCCATCCAGCTACACTGTTTCTTTTTCTTTCTTTCTTTTTTTTTTTTTTTATCCTCACCTGAGGCTATTTTTTCCTTTTTTGTTCGGATAGAGTGGGAGGGAGAGAGAGGAAGAGAGAGATAGAAACATCGACGTGAAGGGACACATCGAGTGGCTGCCACCCGCACGACCAACCAGGGCCGGGGACAAACTGCAACCGAAGTACGTGCCCTTAGCGGGAACCGAACCCGGGTCTCTCCGGACCGCAGGCTGACGCTTTAACCGCTGAGCCAAACTGGCCAGGGCTACACTGTTTCTTTTTATTGGAGAATTCAGTCCATTCACATTTAAAGTGATTACTTATGGCCATTTTTGTTTAGTGTGGTTATATTTTTCTTCCTGTTTCTTCTACTAATTACAGC